AGAAACTCCCCTGCTTCTTGTTTAATTCACCTCTGATTCCTCTGAACACCCCGTTGTTACAAAGTCTCTGGGACTTCCTGTAGCTGTGTGAGAGAGAGGCACTGCATGCTGTGAATCCAGCATTTTCACGGAATTGATGGGAATCAAGGAAATAACTGGTTGTCACGTGGTTGACGTAATGTGATGAAAGTCTAGGAGTTTTTACCTATAGTTCTGATAAGACATATGAATTTTTCTTTTGGGGAGTATTAAAAGATAGCGAGTATGGATATTTTCAATTTGTAACTGCTTTTTAATACAAGCTGGGAGGGGTTTAGCATCTTAGTTTCTTGGTGTTTGTTGCCATCTAGTGGGCATTGTGTGTATTGCATGGCAGGTAAAAGGCATTGCTTTATTGTACTATTTGTAGTGACTGAAATAACTGCCATGTTTATAAGAAAACAAATACCTGATATGAGAAGACCACAATGTCATTTTCAGGTAATGGTGTGAAACTACTGTCCATCAAATCTCTACTGTTCCACTTTCTAGATCTGTGATTTGAGCAAATTATTTCATGTTTGAAAGCCCTGGGTTTTTTTCACCTAAGTGATAAGAACCATTTAAATTTTCTTAACGGGGTTAATGAAATGATTCTATACTAGCCACTTAGGAAGCTTTTAATGCATAGCAAGTGCTCAGTGAAAGGTTGTACTTGGAAGTGTAAGTTATTACACCTGGAGATAATTTTTAGAGAGAAAAAAGAGCGGCAGGGGGTTTGTGGTACTGTGTTGATGAAACTCCAAGAAACAGCTGGCAAAGGTTCAGGCCTCCCACCTGCCCGCCTGCCCGCCTGTCCAAGGAGTACAGTGGCTGGTGAGGTGTGGAGGCACAGGCAGGAAATGAGATGAGCACACTGGAAGTAAGAGAACACTCTAAGGAAGATTTTCTTTAAAACTGGCTAAGTAGATTAAATAAGTATTTGTTTTATTTAAAAAAAAAACTCCATTATTCTGTGTCTTGGATTGTGGTAGAATCAAAAAAGCAGGAATAAGAAACTTGGATGTTGTGGAATATTTGTTCAACCAGGCAAAGATGTGTTACATTTGTTTCTGCTACGGAATATTACTTTAACTGTATAAAGATGTGTTACTTTTGTTTATGCTGTATTTGTTTAATTATGTACAGATGTGTTGCATTTGGTTCGACTTGCCTGCCTAAGGCTCCTGATTGGTCTAATAAAAAGCTAGCCAATAGCGAGGCAGGAGAAAGGATAGGCGGGGCTGCCAGGCAGAGAGAATAAACAGGAGAGAAATCTAGGTTGGAGAGGGGAGGAGGGGGAGAGAGAACGAGGGGCACGCCGGGGCAAGAAGCCAGGCAGCTGCCAGCCAGTCAGACACAGAGACAGCAGGAAAGTGAGACATACAGACAGGAAGTAAGGAAGGTAATAAGCCCCAAGGCAAAAGGTAGGTAAAGAAAAGCAGGCTAATTTAAGTTAAAGGAGCTAGCCAGAAATGTGCTAAGCTAGACTGAGCATTCAAAGGAGCTGGTTGGTGGCCCAAAAGAACAAGCCTGGTGCACTTGGAGTGGGAAAAAAATGATCAGAAAAGCATTGAGCACTGGACTCCAGTCTCGGGCACGGAGGTAATGCTCCTTGCAGCTCATTGTCTGCTGCAAAGCAGAAGCAACCATGAATGCCTTTGACAAAGACAGACCACATACAGGACAGTGGCCCCCAGAAGATCATAAGATAGATGACGGGATTCCTATCACCTACTGAAATAGTAGTATTAACAGGTTTGTTTGTGATAGTACTGGGATACGCACGCTTACTGATGCATTAAAATGTGACATATACAGTTATATATTGTAAGTAAGCCTCAGGAATAAAAAGCAATGTGTTATTGGTGTCCATGTTTGTTCTATTGTTTATTATTATTTTAGAATGTATCCCTTCTACATACATATATATATGTATATATATGTATGTATATATATGTGTGTGTGTATATATATATATATATATATAATATATCACTGTGAAACAGTGTGTAGTAGTACACCAGCAGTAGCCTCATCCACTTCATAGTGTTTCTTGATTGCTTCAGAGGTAGTCACATGACCTAGAACATTTAGGCTTATGTAAGTGTGAAATTACATAATGATGAATATCTCAGAACATGGTCGCTGATGCATGCTTGTGCAAATAGTCTCAGTGTAGACTTATTGACACAGTTCTGATAAACAAGTATTTATAAATTAAAGGCAATATCTTGTTTTATTCATAAGAAAGAAGCTTAAGAATGTTGATAATCATTTTTATTTAATGGGCTTGTTTCATAAAAATAAATTCATATTCATAAGTTTCAAATTTTATGTTCAATAGCAGTAAACAGTAAATCCTCATAATATCTTAATTTATTATTCATGAGTTTTTCCCTGGGATTTCTAGGAAACTATCCATAACAGTTGGGAAGAGAAATTAAAGATGGCATTAAATAGGTTTCCTGTTTTAAAATTTAGTTGACAGATGTCAGTTTTGTTGTGGAAAATGTTTGACTCCTTTATAATGGTAATATTTACCTTTGGCTTAATAAAACTACAATTATAAATACTAAGTCCAATAAATTATGTTCCAAAATAAATGTTGATAGGGACAGCATGAAATGACTGCAGAGGAAGAATCTTGGGTTGAATTTACTGGCTTGGAAAAGCATAATTCCTCAAATCCTCAAGGCTGGCAGCCATTGTAAGGAAAAGGAGAAGCCACCACACCAGATCCCCCAGGAAAAATGGAGGGCAGGACCCACAGACCTGATCATCTTAGTGGTGACATAGCCTCTGAGAATTGAGTTTCCTCATGTCAGCTGAGGGTCTTCAAAATTAATACATGAGAGTCCTTGAATTACAAGGAGTAGCATCCTGCAATAGTGTGTAAGTATTTGGGTTAGGAACCCCTCAGCTTCAGGTGAGGTCCAGTGTGAGGGAGACAGTTTTAGATCTCAGGGGTTCCAAGCTCCTGATTTAGGTCCATAGGGTAAAATGATTGCTGCTCAAGCATTAAGACCTGAGTTTGGATCCAACACCTGATCAAAAACCAGATGAGGCAGCGTGCATCTGTACTCTCAATGTGGGGTGGGGTGGGGCAGACAGGGATCTCTGGGCCATGAGAGCCGACCAGTCTGGTTGGTGAGCTCCAGCTTCAGTGGGAGACCCTGTCTCAAAATTTAAGGTAGAGAAGTGGTTGAGGAGGACTCTGGCTTCCATATGCAACATATATGTGTATGTTCACTACACACATGTACACACGACTAAATTTTTTATTTCCAAGTGTTACTAAATCTTACTGCTTTTTTTCATTGTAACCAGGTATAAATGTCAAAAAAAAAAAAGAAAGATAAATCAAATGAGAGCTATTTAAAATGTGTGACCATTGATTACATACCTGGTGATGTCATAACCAGTTTGTCACCTAAGGTTTTCCTCAGCGCTCCTCTGGCTGATGGGCTGGCAGGAGGCAGAAGGCTGTCCACACAGTCGTGGTCAGTACGGTTGCTTATGTGACTTACAGCTCCACTTTGTGCTTTCCACTGGACAGCCTATGGCTTGGCCTTTCCGCCCTGAGGACCATTTCCTCCTGTCCTGCTGACTGGATCCCTCCACCCCTGCTGTTTGGGTTGTGCCTGTTTCTCAGGTGTTCTTGCTCGTCTTATACTTAATGATGTTGCTGCCTACGTTGTTGTTCAGTTGGGAATTTTTTTTTTGATATATTGATTTTATTTACTCAGACCAGTAATATTCATTATAATAGTAAAAGTTATAGGTTTGTTTGTTTTTACTAGATTGATTAATGGAAAGTAATTTTTACTAAAACAATTGTGTTTTGAAGCACAGAATTCAGTAGTTCCTAGTATTTCAGGCTCCAAGGGATTCAGTTATGAAAAAATATACTTCTTCATTTCTTTTACAATCTAGTTTTAAATTTCCTTTGTGAGGCATTCTGCTAGGATTTAGCTTGGCATTAACTCTGTTGGAGAACTTTTTAAAATCAGAATTATTATTTGTTTTGGCTAACCAGACACATTTGAAATTGGCTGTCATACTTTAGGATAGCAGATACTTTCCAAAATAAAGAACTACAGGTGAATCTCTTCTAGATGGAGGAAGGAGAGTTCACAGATCCTAGATATTTTCAGTCTATAGTTAGTTTTTAGCAAAGAGCGGTATAACTGTGCATAAAGTTTAACAATGTGCATGGAGACTATTTCCTGTAGTCAGAGGCTTTTCTCTGCCCCACCCCGTTCATCGTTCAGCAGTCACTTCCCAAATTATTACTCAGAGGCTTTTATTAATTATAAATGCTTAGCCAGTAGCTCAGGCTTATTACTAACTAGCTCTTACGTTTAAATTAACCCATAATTCTTGCCTATGTTTAGCCACATGGCTTGGTACTTTTTCTTAGTATGGCATTTTCATCTTGCTTCCTCTGTATCAGGCTGGAGACTCCTTAACTCCACCCTCCTTCCCATCATCCTCAGTTTGGCTTTCCTGCTTAACTTCCTGCCTAGCTACCAGCCGATCAGCATTTTATTAAACCAATTCAAGTGACAAATCTTTACAGTGTACAAGAGGATTATTCTACAGCAATTTCCATTTCCATTATCAATCAATGTGACTGTCCAACCTATAATCATATAGCTTGTGAGCTTTGTGAGACCTGGGTTGGGCTAGTGTTATCATAAGACTGAGATACCATAGCAGCTTAATTAGGTTGAGGTATTTTTATTGTAATTTGAAGTTCCATTTCATTGTTGGACATTATAGATAATGGCCAAAGGAAGGGAGAGAGTTTTTGTTTTCTGGAAACATAATGGTTGATTTTGATCAAAGGAAAATTGTGATTTTTTTTCAATTATGAACTTTTATTGCTGTTGCAAGATATCCATTCTGATGACAGCAGATAGTAAGCTTGTGCTTGAGGGAGTGAACTAAATCATAGTTGTATTAAGGAAGCTTTATTAGTAGAGTATTAATAGATGTCTATGGCTAATAAAATACAGTATTCAACATCTGCTTTAAATTTTTCTATTTGTCATTTAAAGAATTAAGATACTTTTAATGTCAAAGAAGTAGCTTGTAGCCTCGGCTGTGAAATGGAAACCTGTGAGCTAGTGTGACGGGGTGGCGTGCTGCTATGGCAGTCAGTGGTGTGGGCAAACACTCACCCGAGTGGGCTGCAGAGAGGGTCTAACTGTCTTAACTAAAAGCACTCCAGTGTGATTGTCTCATCTCTCCCTGGTGCGTTTTCTCACTCCTGAGGTCCTTCTCATGCTCTTGTCTGGCAGGCTTTGATCCAGTGTGAGCAGCTGAAGAGTGAGCTGGAGAGGCAGACAGAAAGACTGGAAAAGGAACTTGCCTCTCAGCAAGAGAAACGGGCTCTGGAGAAGGAGATGATAAAGAAAGAAGTAGCCAAGGAGAGGGAGGATGCTGAATCTAAGGTACTGTGCAGACACTTTCCCATGGCTGTGAGGACGCATCTGAGGGGAAGGGCTGGCTTTGGCTCACAGTGTCAGTCACGGGAAGGCAGCGCAGAGCTCCTTGCAGTGGGGGTGTGCACACCTGCGTCTCACGCCAGCTCTCCTGGAGCCTTCTGCAGGCCTCCTGTGCATCTCTGACCTTTGCAGCCTCAGCAGCAGAATTGGAGGCTCTGGGGATGCAGTCACGGAGCCGATGCTGCTGTCTCCTAAAGTACAGGCTTCAGGGAAAGGTGACTGCTAAGGAGATGTGTCCATGAGCGAAAGTCTCTCAAGCCTAGACCGTCCTGCGAGACTTTTTGTCAGGAGGATTTTGAAGTGAGGCCTGGAAAGGTGGAGGGACGGTCAGGGGAAGAATTGAGTTCAGGGGAAGACAGTGTCACGTCCAGGAAGAACACACACCCGCAGGAGCTGAAGCACAGAGCAGGAGCTGAAGCTGTGTGCATGGTTGGGGTTTGGAGCCTCCGGGCAGCAGGGCCGAGGGACTTAGGAGGAACGGTGGATTCTGAAGTGTGGAGAAGTATATAGGGAATAAATCACCCGTGCTCTTAAAATCCACATGAGTATTAGACATTTCATCCAAATGTGACATTGAACCACTGAATGGCTTTAATTGGACAGTGTTGTAATGATATGAATATGTGAGGAAAATCACCTTGTTAATAAATTGGAATTGTGTGCCAGGAGATCAGGTTGAGGTTAGGTTTGGCATCTTGGATCCAGGAGATCACTAGGAGTTAGTTATGGCATCCTGGGGACAATGATAGCATCTTGGATCCAGGAGATCACTAGGAGTTAGTTCTGGCATCCTGGGGACAATGATAGCATCATGGTTCCAGGATCACTGGGAGTTAGTTATGGCAACCAGGGGCAGTGATAGCATCATGGTCCCAGCTTTTCAGAAATGTTTCAGGTCATGCTTATTCTCCTCAAGTTCCCTCACTCTCAGCAGAGAAACTTAGTAAAAAGAATTGAAGCCAGTGGGTGGCAACCAGTTAAACTATTCGCCTCCCGTGCTGTCTCTCTCCTTTGCCCTTTCCCACCTCACGGAGCCCCTCCTGGTCATTGTCTAGGCTCTTCTGATCTTCATCTCCTTCCCATCACCTTCCTCGTCGCCCTGATGGCACTTGCAGCCCCTGTGGCATCTTCACCACCATCCTCAACTCACTTGTTCCTTAAGCCACAGCTGGCCTGATCTTTCTGTGGTGCACATCTCAGTGTGCCAGTTTCTTACTTGAAAAGCCTTGTCTCCCTGCAGTCTCAGATAAACCAGGATCCTTTAGCAAAACATAGAATCACCATCATTTTTCCCCTCTGGCTCTTCAGTCCCATCCCCTTCTTTTCTTCCTTGTGTTCCTATCCTACCACACTGACCTCCCTGCCCTTCTCCAGCCATTCAGACAGACTGATCTACCCTGTTTGTTAGGTTTGGTTGCTTTTGGTTTTTGTTTGTTTGTTTTTGTTTTTCAAGACAGGGTTTCTCTGTGTAGCCTTGGCTGTTCTGGAACTCACTCTGTAGAACAGACTCAGAGATCCACCTGCCTCCCAAATTCTGAGATTAATGGCGTGTGCCACCACCTCCTGGCTGGTTTTATTTAAGATTTTGAGTGGGCTTCACCTCTTAGCCAGAGAAGTCTTTCTTTGTTCTTGTTGTTCTCTTAGAGTTCTTGAAACAGGCTCCATCAGAGCCTCCCAAAGCAAGCCCAGCTTCTGCTCTATGGGGTCTCCTAATTCAGTTGATTGCAAATTCTTGTGGATTGTTGCCTTCTCTGACTTTCTGTGAGTCTCTGCATGTATGAACTAACATCCTCATTGCTTAGCACGTTAGCTTATGTGCAAATAGATATTTATGAATGAAGTACAAATAACGTACAAGGAAGGCAGAGAAGGCCCCGTGGCACTGGGAAGGCAGGGCTAAGGCCGAGGTCAGACCTGATCCCTTCCTGCAAGCGATCCTGGCAAGCCCTGTGGGAAAGGTGCTAGTTAGCTGCGTTCCAAAGAATAGGTAGGGTTTAGAATCCTAGCAGCTGAGGAAGGAAAAGGCCTCTGTTCAGCCTGAGGAAGGCATGGAGGGAGGTAGTTTTGAATTGGCTATTGTGTGTGTGTGTGAGAAAATAGAATCAATCACACACACAAACAGCTATTGCTCACACCTAGGGTATTTTTATTTGGGAAGGGGGTTGTTTAATGGAAACCATTTGACTCAGTAGCTTCACAATAGGAAACACTTGGATAAGAATTTGAAAAGGAAGGAAAAAAGAGCAATAAATTGTGCCTGGAGGTATGCCAGGTGCATTTGTATAAGACTCTGCCCCTGGTGGGCACTTCCTGGGGAAAGGTGTCAGCCAACGCAGACCTGTCACCAGTAGAGTGAGCTCTGGCAGACGTTTGAGCTCAGGTCTGGTCCTGAGGACAAGTACAGATGTGAGAGTATGGGGCAGCCAATCCTAGCACCCGGGTGTTCTCGTTAGGGAGAACTGCTTCAGAGAAAAAAGATGTGGGAGTAAGTCCAGTTGGCCCAAAGGCCCTCTGGGACTTTGTCTAATCTTCGGGGTGACGAATGCATCAAGCACTCGACAGGATCAAATGTGATGACACTTTGAAAATGTCGTAATTCTTTTTTTTTTTTTTTAAAGATTTATTTATTATGTATACAATGTTCTGCCTGCATGTATGTCTACAGGCCAGAAGAGGGCACCAGATCTCATTATAGATGGTTGTGAGCCACCATGTGGTTGCTGGGAATTGAATTCAGGACCTTTGGAAGAGCAGTCAGTGCTCTTAACCTCTGAGCACAGGCCTTTAATCCCAGCACTC